AAGTTGCTGTATAAGTATGGCCCTACAGTAGCCCAGAACCTAAGTTGCTGTATAAGTATGGCCCTACAGTAGCCCAGAACCTAAGTTGCTGTATAAGTATGGCCCTACAGTAGCCCAGAACCTAAGTTGCTGTATAAGTATGGCCCTACAGTAGCCTGGAACCTAAGTTGCTGTATAAGTATGGCCCTACAGTAGCCCAGAACCTAAGTTGCTGTATAAGTATGGCCCTACAGTAGCCCAGAACCTAAGTTGCTGTATAAGTATGGCCCTACAGTAGCCCAGAACCTAAGTTGCTGTATAAGTATGGCCCTACAGTAGCCAGAACCTAAGTTGCTGTATAAGTATGGCCCTACAGTAGCCCAGGAACCTAAGTTGCTGTATAAGTATGGCCCTACAGTAGCCCAGAACCTAAGTTGCTGTATAAGTATGGCCCTACAGTAGCCCGAACCTAAGTTGCTGTATAAGTATGGCCCTACAGTAGCCCAGAACCTAAGTTGCTGTATAAGTATGGCCCTACAGTAGCCCAGAACCTAAGTTGCTGTATAAGTATGGCCCTACAGTAGCCCAGAACCTAAGTTGCTGTATAAGTATGGCCCTACAGTAGCCAGAACCTAAGTTGCTGTATAAGTATGGCCCTACAGTAGCCCGGAACCTAAGTTGCTGTATAAGTATGGCCCTACAGTAGCCCAGAACCTAAGTTGCTGTATAAGTATGGCCCTACAGTAGCCCAGAACCTAAGTTGCTGTATAAGTATGGCAATACAGTAGCCCAGAACCTAAGTTTCTGTATAAGTATGGCCCTACAGTAGCCCAGAACCTACGCTGCTGTATAAGTATGGCCCTACAGTAGCCCAGAACCTAAGTTGCTGTATAAGTATGGCCCTACAGTAGCCAGAACCTAAGTTGCTGTATAAGTATGGCCCTACAGTAGCCCGAAACCTAAGTTGCTGTATAAGTATGGCCCTACAGTAGCCAGAACCTAAGTTGCTGTATAAGTATGGCCCTACAGTAGCCCAGAACCTAAGTTGCTGTATAAGTATGGCCCTACAGTAGCCCAGAACCTAAGTTGCTGTATAAGTATGGCCCTACAGTAGCCCAGAACCTAAGTTGCTGTATAAGTATGGCCCTACAGTAGCCAGAACCTAAGTTGCTGTATAAGTATGGCCCTACAGTAGCCCAGAACCTAAGTTGCTGTATAAGTATGGCCCTACAGTAGCCAGACCTAAGTTGCTGTATAAGTATGGCCCTACAGTAGCCCAGAACCTAAGTTGCTGTATAAGTATGGCCCTACAGTAGCCCAGAACCTAAGTTGCTGTATAAGTATGGCCCTACAGTAGCCCAGAACCTAAGTTGCTGTATAAGTATGGCCCTACAGTAGCCCAGAACCTAAGTTGCTGTATAAGTATGGCCCTAAGTAGCCCAGAACCTAAGTTGCTGTATAAGTATGGCCCTACAGTAGCCCAGAACCTAAGTTGTTGTATAAGTATGCCCTACAGTAGCCCAGAACCTAAGTTGCTGTATAAGTATGGCCCTACAGTAGCCCATGGAACCTAAGTTTCTGTATAAGTATGGCCCTACAGTAGCCCAGAACCTAAGTTGCTGTATAAGTATGGCCCTACAGTAGCCCGAACCTAAGTTGCTGTATAAGTATGGCCCTACAGATAGCCCAGAACCTAAGTTGCTGTATAAGTATGGCCCTACAGTAGCCCAGAACCTAAGTTGCTGTATAAGTATGGCCCTACAGTAGCCCAGAACCTAAGTTGCTGTATAAGTATGGCCCTACAGTAGCCCAGAACCTAAGTTGCTGTATAAGTATGGCCCTACAGTAGCCAGAACCTAAGTTGCTGTATAAGTATGACCCTACAGTAGCCCAGAACCTAAGTTGCTGTATAAGTATGGCCCTACAGTAGCCCAGAACCTAAGTTGCTGTATAAGTATGACCCTACAGTAGCCCAGAACCTAAGTTGCTGTATAAGTATGGCCCTACAGTAGCCCAGAACCTAAGTTGCTGTATAAGTATGGCCCTACAGTAGCCCAGAACCTAAGTTGCTGTATAAGTATGGCCCTACAGTAGCCCAGAACCTAAGTTGCTGTATAAGTATGGCCCTTCAGTAGCCCAGAACCTAAGTTGCTGTTATAAGTATGGCCCTACAGTAGCCCAGAACCTAAGTTGCTGTATAAGTATGGCCCTACAGTAGCCCAGAACCTAAGTTGCTGTATAAGTATGGCCCTACAGTAGCCCAGAACCTAAGTTGCTGTATAAGTATGGCCCTACAGTAGCCCAGAACCTAAGTTGCTGTATAAGTATGGCCCTACAGTAGCCCAGAACCTAAGTTGCTGTATAAGTATGGCCCTACAGTAGCCCAGAACCTAAGTTGCTGTATAAGTATGGCCCTACAGTAGCCCAGAACCTAAGTTGCTGTATAAGTATGGCCCTACAGTAGCCCAGAACCTAAGTTGCTGTATAAGTATGGCCCTACAGTAGCCCAGAACCTAAGTTGCTGTATAAGTATGGCCCTACAGTAGCCCAGAACCTAAGTTTGCTGTATAAGTATGGCCCTACAGTAGCCCAGAACCTAAGTTGCTGTATAAGTATGGCCCTACAGTAGCCCAGAACCTAAGTTGCTGTATAAGTATGGCCCTACAGTAGCCTGGAACCTAAGTTGCTGTATAAGTATGGCCCTACAGTAGCCCAGAACCTAAGTTGCTGTATAAGTATGGCCCTACAGTAGCCCAGAACCTAAGTTGCTGTATAAGTATGGCCCTACAGTAGCCCAGAACCTAAGTTGCTGTATAAGTATGGCCCTACAGTAGCCCAGAACCTAAGTTTCTGTATAAGTATGACCCTTCAGTAGCCCAGAACCTAAGTTGCTGTATAAGTATGGCCCTACAGTAGCCCAGAACCTAAGTTGCTGTATAAGTATGGCCCTACAGTAGCCCAGAACCTAAGTTGCTGTATAAGTATGGCCCTACAGTAGCCAGAACCTAAGTTGCTGTATAAGTATGGCCCTACAGTAGCCTGGAACCTAAGTTGCTGTATAAGTATGGCCCTACAGTAGCCCAGAACCTAAGTTGCTGTATAAGTATGGCCCTACAGTAGCCAGAACCTAAGTTGCTGTATAAGTATGGCCCTACAGTAGCCCAGAACCTAAGTTGCTGTATAAGTATGGCCCTACAGTAGCCCAGAACCTAAGTTTCTGTATAAGTATGCCCTACAGTAGCCAGGAACCTAAGTTGCTGTATAAGTATGGCCCTACAGTAGCCCAGAACCTAAGTTGCTGTATAAGTATGGCCCTACAGTAGCCCAGAACCTAAGTTGCTGTATAAGTATGGCCCTACAGTAGCCCAGAACCTAAGTTGCTTATAAGTATGGCCCATACTGTAGCTTCACGACATAAACCAAAATATATGTGTACTATAATATACTTTCCCACAGTAGACAGGAAAGTTGTCACTGCCTAAGTTTTGTTGCATATGTATGGCTTAACAGTAGTCTCTTAGAGCTAAGTAGATCGTGTAGTGGCAGGTATGGCCTATAGTAAGCCGGGAACCTATTACCGTATAAGTATGGCACCTACAGTAGCCAAACCTATGTTCTGTAGTATGACCCTACAGTGTGGACTCAAGTTTGTGTCTGTATGTAATGGCCCATACATAGAGAAATACACATAATTGCTTAAAAGCTATGGAAATTAATCAGTAGCCCAGTAAAAGTTGTGTAAAAAGTTTGGTACCTGACAGTACTGCCCAGAGAGCATAAGAGCTTATAAGTAGCTCTATTTGCTGAAACCTGGATACATACAAAAATGACCTGTTGTATACCAATAGTTTGGACCAAAGAGACATAAAGCTTATTTCTCCTGCCTAAGTTATGGTATTTGCTGAACTTATGTGTCATGAGTATTGAGCCTTTAATAGCACTCATGGTACGAGTGGAACCTGGAGTATGCGAATTTGAATATCAGAGGTATGAGTGCCGACCCTTAGATACTCGAACAGATCTTCCAACATTTCTTTTTGGTTGGCTTTCACTAATTTTTCGTAGCCCCATGTACTATTTTGACAAAAATAATAAAAAACACCAAAAAAGCAATGAACATGAAATAGTGTTTAATGAATTGACAAGTACATGTATGTTTGGTAGTCCCGTGGACAAGTACTGAACCCTGACTGGAAAGGAATAAAAGCCTTTAAGCTAATTTTCGAACAAGCTCTGGCATATACAATACAAATCCATGTGATGTTAAGTTAACTAATATCTATTGAAATACAATTTAAAAAATAACATAACCTTCTATGGTATTATAATTGTGAGGAACATTTTTATACTATGGCTATTGTGCCTTATTGTTCTATGTACAGTGGAACCTTGGTATTTCCGAATTTAATTCATTCCAGAGGGCTATTTGAGTGCCGATCCATTAGATACTCGAACAGATTCTTCCCAACCAATTTTCTTTTTGGTTGGCTGTTATCACTAATCTTCGTAAGCCCCATGGTGACTTATTTATACAAAAATAAAAAAAAAAACACCAAAAAATGCAATGAAACATGAAATAGTTTACCAGTGAAGTTCTGACAAGTCATGTTTGTTTGGTCGAGTGCTGAGCTTTGTTCGAGTAGGGAGCTGTTCAAGTACTGAGATTCCACTGTAGCTGGAAACGTGAAAATAATAATGACCTTTAAGCTAATTTTCAAACAGCTCTGAGGCTTGAGGTACAATACAAATCCATGAGATGTTAATGCTTAAACTTAATATCGTATTTGTAAATACAATAAAAAATGAACAATAACCAAATTCTACTGAGGTAATCAAATATAAACAATATTGTAAGCAGGAACCAGTTCTTTACATACTAGTGGCTTTCTTATGTCCCTACCATTGTTTTATTATATGCCGGTTACATAATTTTTGTGTCACAATGAGAAATAAAAATTTGAATTTAAATTTAATAGACTTCTACCTCTGTGGCCCCAAATAAACAGAAAATATCAACTTACCCTTTGTACTCTAACTTGAAGGTCACGCATATATGGGCTACAGTCATTGAAAACCTCGTGGCCTTGGTGGTAGAATGTCAGCCACCCATACATATAACTCAACAGCTGCGAACATTGACATCTATAAGATTTATTTTCAAGCAATAGTCCTACAGGCAAAAAAACATACTGTCTCTTTTTAGCCTAAACAAAAATAATGTACATTAGATATTTGCTTTAGTGAACAATAATAATGTACCTACAGGTAACAGTATCCTCTCTAATAAAGCTAGTCTGATAGATATACAGATACAGATCCCTAACTGGGATATTAGTGAATATCACTTGTCAGCTATGATATATAATGTTTGTTAATATACTATCTGTTTGTGCAAACTTAATAAAATTCTTCCTGGCTGACATCATGTAAGGATATTGCATTTGCAATTTCCTTACAAATGCAACTGAATAACACTTACTATGATGGCCTTTTAAGGGGCACATCAATTCTGAATGAATTTTTTCAACTGCATTTAATAACAAGTGCACTGTAAAGACGAGCTTTTAAGAGAGTTGACTGTATTTACAAGAAATACCAGAGGATTTTAAGACTAAACTATTTTTCTCAAAATTATAAATAGGTTAATTATGAAAGAGAGAAGACCTGATAGATTCATTCAGTCTCTTTCCACTACGCACTGTATTTTTCCTATGGATATAATGTGGTTCCTCTAAAATCTAAACAAATGAACATTACTAAAACAATTTTATGAATAAATAACAGTAAAACCTTGACTCATGAAATCATAATAACATGACTGCAAACAAGCCATGGAACAGGTGGGGTTAGAACCCATGGCAAGTGAGTCGTAAAATTCCAGGGCCAGTGTGTAAGCCACTAGGCCACTGGCCAGGAGTTATATCACTCACTTGTCATGAGTTTTAACCCCACCCATACCATGGTTTAAAGCCTTGATTTAACAGATTAAGAGTGGGAAGGAGATGGCCAGTAAAGTTGACCATAGCAAAAAGCTGAAATTATTTCGTAGCACTAACAGGCAGTTCTGTAACTAGCCGACCTTGTCCATTGTTTTTGGGCCAAGTGACCCAATTCTGCACAAACATTATATCATGTGGAAATAAATCTATGACTCTGAAAATATCCATTAAATGAAGGGTTTACTAAACATTCATCAATAACATAAAACGATCTGGTAAACCACAAAAAATCACCTAGGTTTATTAGCCACACAAACATTAGTTATGAAAGACAACTGTTCTGACATTATGTAAATACAACAAAAACAATACTCATAAAAGAAATACCGTAGTTCTAAAAGTGTCACTAGATGGCAGCAAAATGGAAAATACATAAAAAAAGTTACTAGTTTTTATTACAGTGCCATTATTGAAATAAAGAACCAATAAAATTTTAAAAAATAAAAATATAATCAGTTCTTAAAGTGAGAAAAGTGTTGAAGATTTATGCAGGAATTTATTTATATAGGAAATATTTATATGGGAAATTAATGTAGGAGAAATTCTTACCAAGTGCAAAGTGATTTTTCAAGACCATTTTGGAGGTCCTGACCATAACAAAAAGAAACAGTCTATATAAATCTAAAATATTATATCATTATAATATAGCAGCTGCAAAATATACATCTGAAATTTTGAAAGATGAACATAATACAAATTTATAGTTATTTGTACTTCTGTATACAGTATGGTAGTATAAGAAATATTGTGGAACAGACTAAGTCTTTGAAAACTCAGCCTCCGTCATTAAGTAAGGAGAGGCTATATATATATCCACAATGGACTAGCCTTGTCAGCAGAAGGTCTTGGTCAGATGACCAAAAGCTCTAGCTGTGGGTCATTATATGACTAAGACCCATGTTAGGAAACACTTGTCCTGTTTCCTGACAAACCTTACCTAGCCTAACTAGCCTTGTGGGCTCTATCTTCTCTTAAAGCAGTGTATGGAGTCTACAAAGCAACTCACCGTCTCAACAAATTCAAATTTCTTTCTCTCCTGGACCTCCTGAAGCAGAAACACATAATCCAGTGAGGCGTGGACGAAGTGCCGCTGTTCCATCTCTACCGATGCATCAGCCTGCAAGACGTGACGGAGACAACATCTTTACTAATTCTATTTTACACAACAAAATCATTGCAAACATTTCTCCAATGCTGGCTGTAGTGGGAGGCATAACAAGGTTCTAGTATCAGGGGACTAACAACATAATGAATACACCATCCTGCATACCAGATTAACTGGTTTTATATTTTTTATGTAAATTTATACAGACGCTACCCTACTTACGAACATTCGAGTTACGAACATTCGGACATACGAACAGACTGCCGTGTTAGTTAAAGTACCAATTAAAAATGTAAGAAATTTTTTATTACAGTATTTATGATTAAAATATGCTTTAGTATTAAGAACCGTACATTAGTGATACTGTAGAGAACTGTCTAAGTTGTCAATGAACAACAGTAGAGAGAGAACAATAATAATCATAGCAACAGAAAATGGCAAAATAACGACTTACAAACAATTCAAGATACGAACAGCCTTCTGGAATGTAACTTGTTCGTAAGTTGGGGGGGGGGGGGTCTGTATACATGTATGCAATAAGATCACAGTAAACAGGTGATATTACAGTATGCAAAACAACCACTGTGAAAAAAATTGTGAACTTCCAAGTGCTTGCAAAATTTCTCACATTATCTAGGGCCTTGATAATATGAGAAATCATGAAAGCACTTGAAAGTTCATTATACTTTCACAGTGGCTGTTTTGCATTTAGTATATGTGTTTTGCATTTACATATACAGTGGACCCCCATTTACGATATTTTTTCATTCCAGAAGTATGTTCAGGTGCCAGTACTGACCGAATTTGTTCCCATAAGGAATATTGTGAAGTAGATTAGTCCATTTCAGACAGCCAAACATACACGTACAAACGCACTTACATAAATACACTTACATAATTGGTCGCATTGGGAGGTGATCGTTAAGCGGGGGTCCACTGTATGTGTTTTGTATTTACATGTGCCAATATCCCAAACCCCTCCTTTAAAGCTCAGGCACTGTACTTCCCATTTCCAGGACTCAAGTCCAGCTAACCAGTTTCCCTGAATCCCTCCACTAAATATTACCCTGCTCACACCCCAACTGCTCGTCAGGTCCCAAAAACCCCCTGTCTCCATTCACTCCTATCTAACATGCTCCCACACTAGCTTGCTGGAAGTCCAAGCCCCTCACCCACAAAACCTCCTTATATATTATAGGCATAAATTTATTTCGTACAATAATCATATATTTTTCTATATGTATTAAGAAAATGGATACTGTACAAAATTATAGTGGCATTACATAAAATATTAATCACAACAGGATGGGAGTGAAATACAAGATTGCTGGACTGAACACATCGACTCCAGGCTGAGGGACTGATTACCTCAAACTCCTCCTCTCCTTACGCCTTTCTACTTTGTATTGGACTGATGAAGCCACTGTGTGGTGAAACGTTTCCTGAATAAAGATTCCCATATGTTGCATAAGTGTCTCAATCTTCAACTTGTCGGTTTTTCAAACCATTCATCACAACTATTTGTGTTGTACACAGTGTTTATCCTAAACCTTACAGTATAAAATACAGTACTAACAAGATAAAAAGTAAAGTAAAACATGAAATACCAAAATAAAACAATAAAATAAAGTCATTACAAAAATGTTTTGCTGATATTCAGTAGTAAAGTTCGACTTACGACCATTTCGACTAACGACCGGTTTCTCGGAACTGAACTCGGTCATAAGTCGGATGTAGGTGTAATATATATATAATGTTTTATTATTTACGGCTCTGACAGCAAAAAGAAACAAAGAAACGTTGAATGAGTTTATTAACTCAATTTAGCAATAAAGATGATAATAGACGAATGACTCCACCATGCTCGACACTGTAATGTTTTGAACCTGTTTAACTTGTCTTTGTTATTAAAAAAAAATCATATATATGTACAGGTGGGCTCCACTTTACAGCGCTTTGCCTTACAATGTTTCACTAATGCAGCAGTTTTCTATTATACCCATTCTTCATTTATTCAGACTTCCTACAATAAATATATTCACCACTCACTATATGCTAAGTACAAAAATGTTTTAAGGTAAGCAACGTGTGTACCGCATATGCATTTTTTTAGGAATAGCTCTATTGCTCAATTAATAATGATAGTGTAAATATGTTATCAGGCTTTTATATGTGTTTGAAAGTAAAAATACAGTGGACCCCCGCTTAACGATCACCTCCGAATGCGACCAATTATGTAATTGTATTTATGTAAGTGCGTTTGTACGTGTATGTTTGGGGGTCTGAAATGGACTAATCTACTTCACAATATTCCTTATGGGAACAAATTCGGTCAGTACTGGCACCTGAACACACTTCTGGAGTGAAAAAATATCGTTAACCGGGGGTCCACTGTATTGCTCACTTAATAATGATAGTGTAAACATGTTATCAGGGTTTTATATGTGTTTGAAAGTAAAAATACATTGATTTTCACTTTACAGCAGTATCCTGGACATTAATCTGCTGTACAAGCGAGGCCTTCCTATACATAGTATAACCATGTTAATGGATGTACCATGGTTGTGGGAAGAGGAAGTATGGTCACAGTTGTAAAGCAAAAGGGCACAAGTGCAACTACTGTGACATTTTATTGTGGCAACGTTTTGCTTGACAAAGCTCCTGGAGAGCGAAACGTTGCCACAATAAAATGTCACATTAGTTGCACTTGTGTCCTTTTACTTTACATATTGTCAGTAATTCTGGATGGAAATAAATGGTATAAAATACCAACACAATGGAAATATAAACACATGTAGTATAATGTGATCCTTTATTGACAAAGTTTCGCCCACACAGTGGGCTTTTTTCAAGTCACACACAGATCTACCTGGGGTGGAAGGTACGTGAGTATTTATAGTCAGGTTCAGAATGCTGAGGTCAGGTGGAGAATGCTGCATCTGATGATCTACTGAGTGGGGTTATAGAGTCTAAAATCTTGGGTAGCTTGTAAATGAGATTGGATAAGTTTGTGAGCAGACCTTCTACAGTGTTCTTATGTGGGATAGCGATGAAGAAGTTTCTTGGCAAGTGGTTCAGCTATGTTATAGAAGCCATTGTTCTGGTTGAAGTTGTTGGTTATAGAGATAAGCGATGATTTCAGGATTCTTCGGTATTGAGTGTTGTCTTCTCTGGCGATAAGTCTTGAGTTTCTGTAGTTTATTAAATGGTTGTGTGAAATACGGTGTCGTACGCAGGTATTCCTTGTATCGACAGACCTGCCTGCGTATTACCAGTAATAGAAATGACAAGCTTCCATCCTCTGCAGGGGTATACACAATCCCTTGTAATGACTTCAGCAAATTATACGTGGGTGAAACATCAAGAGACCTCCAAACACGTATTTCATAACACCAATACGCAAGCAGGTCTGACGATACAAGGGATGCCTGTGTACAACACCGTAATTCACACAACCATTTAATAAACTACAGAAACTCAAGACTTATTGCCAGAGAAGACAACACTCAATACCGAAGAATCCTGAAATCATCGCTTATCTCTATAACCAACAACTTCAACCAGAACAACGGCTTCTATAACATAGCTGAACCACTTGCCAAGAAACTTCTTCATCGTTCGGTAACGGCACTCGAACAGCCTTCTGGAACTAATTATGGCCGAAACTCAGGGTACCACTCTATATATACAGTATATATAGATATACAGTGGACCCCCGGTTAACGAACTTTTTTCATTCCAGTAGTATGTTCAGGTGCCAGTACTGACCGAATTTTTTCCCATAAGGAATATTGTGAAGTAGATTAGTCCATTTCAGACCCCCAAACATACACGTACAAACGCACTTACATAAATACACTTACATAATTGGTCGCATTTGGAGGTGATCGTTAAGTGGGGGTCCACTGTATATATACATGTATATATAAATCTCTCGTGCTGAATAAGTAAAACTTGCAATTTTAGCTTAAATCGCAATGCATTTCTTGGCAAATATGGTAAGCAAAAATTTGTGTATGCAATAATTTCGCAAAAATCATTCTGACTAACGAAAAAAAAATATTTCATTGTGTTTCTTTATTATTAAATTATTGTGAGCTTATATAAAATATATTTAGTTGGATTAGGATAAATTAAATTGTGCTTGTTAAATAAGGTTAGGTAAGTTTCCTAAGGTACTTTTGGTATAAAATCATTAATTTTTATATTAACATAAATGAAAAAGTATATCTTTAAATGTATAAGAGAAAATTTTAGAAAGGACTTAATTTTAAATGAGTTCTTGCTAATTGACCAGTTTTACATATTCAGCACAACATATATTGTGCAGCTGTTCAAAGGGGTAATGCCTGCTGTATTTTGGGCACACGCCCCCAGCTCTGAGGAGCTGGATGAGATTTTCGCCTTATAATCGGTGATACACACGTAACAACATGTACCGTATATGCCACCTTTATATCAACAATGTATCTCTTAAATCTTTTGTACCAATATATATGTAATAAAATATTCCTATTGGTAAAAAAAAAAAAATATGAAAAGATGGGGTGGTAGGGGAAGTGGAATGTTCAAACGGCTTCAGGAAGAAATTAAAATAATCTTCCTTGAAGCCTTTTTATCCACTTCCCCTATAATATATATACGTATATATATATATATATATATATATATATATATATATATATATATATATATATATATATAATATATATATATATATATATATATATATATATATATATATTGTGCGGGTGTACTCACCTATTTGTACTCGCCCATTTGTGGTTGCAGGGGTTGAGTCACAGCTCCTGGCCCCACCTCTTCACTAGTTTCTATGCTCCAAGAGCCTTATCATACCTCTTCTTAAAGCTATGTATGGATCCTCCACTACTTCACACTCCAGATTGTGTGTGTGTGTGTGTGTGTGTGTGTGTGTGTGTGTGTGTGTGTGTGTGTGTGTGTGTGTGTGTGTGTGGTGTGTGTGTGTGTGTGTGTGTGTAGAGGGCCAGTAT